CGTGATGTATCTGAAAATAAATTCTGGACTTCAGGACAAGGCAGACAGAAAAGGCAGAATTCACAAGCAGGAAAGATTATTACTTCACTATCTCAGGATCACACATTATACAGCCGGCACCATCTGAGCTTAAAAATCAGCCTGCCGAGGACAAGTGATCTTTTCTTGTTTTCAACCAACATTAAAACATTTAAAAAGATCCAGATTTCATTTTCCCTTGAGACTTGGGAGCCATGGGCTGTGGTTGTGAACCGTTTCATAACCTCCCAGATTCTTAACATAGAGGACTTCCTGGGATCAAGGTGACCTCCCTCTCTAAATGTTTTTCTTGTCTGTGTGCTGACTGAGACATAACAACTTTACCTCGTGCCTTAAGCAGCCATCTTATCTGTGCCCTTCTGGACACAGTTAGTCTCTGCTGCGACAGTTAATTACATTTTCTGTTTGGGGAGCTTTTCTCCATGGTACATGTATGTCTCTGATTTCATCTAGAAACTTACTTGTCTAAGAGTCAAGTGTTGCTTATGGAAAGCAACCAGGGTCAGGGCCAGGCCTCTGTTCTCTTGTCTCTATAAGTGAGGCAGCTTGAAAACATATATGTGTAAATTATGTATACATACATTTTTTAAGGAAATATCACCAGCAGATCTCAACAACTCTTGTGTTTAGAAAAGGTGCTCCAACCTCTTTCAGAATGAACCTGAGCTCCATTTTGCTTTTTAAAATCTGAGTTACTAGAATAAAATGGAGCTGCTTCAGTCAACCCTACTAGGAAAAAATGAAAGTAAATAATGACAGAGTTAATAAAGGAAGAATTGTCACACATGATTGCCTGACAGTGACTATCTCCAAAGACACTGCCAGATGTTAAACTAGCACCAAGACACCAATCTTACACATAGGGTGTTTCTACAAGGATCTCTGCCCAGCTACCATCTGTTCGACCTCCAGCTGACACCATGCTTGTTACTAATAGTTGTGGCCAAGGATGGTTGTCTTGAAATAGCTGATGGGATCCGCCTTACTTTTTGTCTTTAAAAATGTCCATCGTTGACTACAGCACACATAAGTCCCTTTGCAATGTTCCACCACTCCCCAATAAATACCAGTATTCTTTGGAGAATCTCTCTCTGATTGCTTTTTAAGTTTTAGGTTGACAATGTCCTTTCCTCCAAGCCTCCTCACCTTCCAGTAGTGACACTGTGGAACTCACCCTATTTCCCAAATTCCTCTCTAGCGGCCCATGTTAGCCCAGGAAATTTCTCCACACTCACACTGCCTTAAGCAACGGCAGGCCCTCACTGGAATCCCCCTGGGGATGGCTGGTGCCCTTCCACCCAGGGCTTCCAGGGCCTCCTTCCAGTCTCACCCTCCAGACACCGGTGCCAAGTGAGGGGGTCACATGCTGGTTCTGCCCCTCCCAGACCTGTTCTTGGCTGGGTGGGGGCTTCTTTTGGCTCAGACTCCATTGCCAAGCCCTGACTCTTTGGGTTCTAGAATAGTCTTTGGCACTGGGCCTAGGACAGCAGGGTCACACACCTCGGAGGAGCATGTGGGAATGGACCCTTCCCATGTGATGCACAAAACTCAGCATGAACATAATCCTGTTCTGTAAGGTTGGCAGGCAAAGGCAGGCCTGCGGGAGAGAGAGCAAGCCCAGCCTCAGAGACCTATGCTGCCACACTGTCACCATTCTAGCAGGTTAGAGCCTCATGGCCCAACCTTCTCCTCCATGTCTTCCAGATTAGGGCCCATATTTTGTCTCCTGTTCCTTATACTTCATAATTCTCTCTCTCTTTCTCTCTCTCTCTCTTACACACACACACACACACACACACACACACACACAGAGTGTGCTTGCACAAGGTTCTGTTTCCAGTGGGGCTGAGATATTGCTGACTTTGGAGTCTCTGAGTGCCAGGAAGAAGTAGCGATTCTGTGATTTAGAATCAAGGCTTCCTTTTTCTCCACCACCACCATGAAGGTCATTCCTTTTGTCCCCAAAAGTCTCACAATCTTCCAAGGCTCCCTGTTCTCCAAATCGTTTGAGAAGGAACTGTTTTGCACTTCAGCACCCATGGAAGCTCTAGATGAGTTTCTCATATTCCGTGGTAGGATGGGAAAGAGGCCCTGGAGAAGATAAAACAGTAAAGTGCTGTGTATGGAGGGTGACACAAGGGAGACAAGCCGGCAAGCAGCCCACTGACACTGTGCATGCCTAGCCTGCCCAGGCTGTGGAAGAGATGAGAAGTTTCACTCATTCATTCAAAGGATAAGGGCCATGTTTACCTGAACCTGACGCCATGGTGGTGACCTGGGTCACACGGCTATAACACCATAGAAGGAAGGCTTCTGCTCCTGTACAAGAGGAACAATCTGAGATTCAGTTGCAGGAAGCTAGGGAGACATAATCCAAAAAGTCAAACTAGTGAACATCTCATTGCAAACCAAGATGAGTAGCACTAAAAAAGACTCTACAAGAACATAGCACCAATGAGCTAACTCAGCCTATGGGGCCGGGAGGGCTTTCTAAAGAAGTGATATTTTAGTTAATCCCAAAGAAGTAGAACTAACTAGAAAAACAAGGCAGAAAGGACAATCCAGGCAGAGAACAGCTTGAGCAAAGACCCTCCTAATACTACCATTGTAGATAGACGTCATCCTTAACCTTCAGTAAACCTTGAACTTGAAGGAAAATGTTCCCTTCTAAAAATGTACTTCCTTTTCCTTTCCCCTTCCATTTACTCTACATTTAATAACCAGCCACCAAAGAGAAGGTAAGCCATGCAGGAGAAAGCCTTAAAAAAACAACACTTGCAGACAGCAGCTATGACAGCCATTTCCTGTTTGGTGTCTCTTACCACAAACCTTCTTAGCCAAATAAATTAACACAGGGAAACATTTTGGACATGGGTGTGGAAGAAACACATACCAAGAGTGCCAGAAAATTCCTGTGTGTGTGTGTGTGTGTGTGTGTGTGTGTGTGTGTGTGTGTGTGTTAAAGAGAAGAGCTTCAAGTTTGAGGTAGGAGTCAGACCCAAGGACTAGACATCCTGTGCTTTTCCTGAATCTGAAGCCCAGAGGGGAAGAGACCCAGTCAGTGGTAGGGCTGGAGAGTGACGTTTGTTGTCTGGCCCTTTGTCCACAGTTTACCCTGCTTTGCTCTGTCTGGTCCCATCAGATTAGATCCTCCCTTATTCCATCACCCACACAACAATAGCATCGGAGGGCCCTCTGCAACCACAATAGAGGAAGCTTAATTTTTGCTTTGTGTACAAGAGCCCAAAGTCTCCTTGTGAGGAAACAAGGGTGGCTTTTCATATTCTGTGTTTGATTTTTTGCTTTTCATATTCTGTATTTGATTTTTCTCTAAGTGGGTCATCTCCTACCTAGCCAGGGTACAGGCTCAGGCCACCATGACCAGGTATTGACTGAGATTGCACTAACTTCTCTGCTTTATAAATGAAGAGGCTAAGTGGTTGATGGGTAGACAAGCTTTCCCAGTCACACAGCGACTACCTCTCCTCCGTGTGGCCTTCTCATACTTGAAAGCAGTATAGCCCTCCTCTGTCATGATCACCAGGGAAGAAGAAGGTATCCATTGTTCCCACTGCCCCATTGAGAGACTGGCTGGTGTATGTATACCGGGGCTGCTACTAGAGTTTCTTACACATGAGGAGTGGTATTGCTGTTTTGTTTTGTTTGCTTTGGCTGTTCTTTCTAGAAGCTACTACAGAGAATTCCCATTCAAAAAACACCAAGTTTGCCTGCATAATATCCAGTCTTGTTCTAGGGTAGGAGTTGGGGACTTCTATGTACCAACTCCACCTATCAGAACCTGCTAGCTCTAGTGAATCTGCCTGGACACAGGTATCAATGACAGCAGCACCACACTTTCCTTTGTGCCCAGATCTTCTAAAACACACCAGCGTGTTTGGTATCTTTTTAGTGGTTTTCCTGATGACACCTTCATACACATGTATAACGTACTTTGATCATATTTACTTCCCACTATCCTCTCGTGTCCCCTCTACTCCCTCCCACTTGTTCTTCCCCCTTTCACTTTCATGTTTGTCTAATCTCAATTCCACATGAGAGAAAACAGACCACATATGTCTGAGTTTTAACATGATAATCTCCAGTTCCCACTCATTTTCCTGTAAATGATACAGGTGTCTTTTTTTTTTTTTTTTTTGGTTGCAGGGCTTGAACTCAGGGCCTGGGCGCTGTCCCTGAGCCTCTTTGTGCTCAAGGCTAGTGCTCTACAACTTGAGGCACAGCACCACTTCTGGATTTTGAATGGTTAAGTGGAGATAAGAGTCTCACAGGGACTTTTCTGCCTGGGCTAGCTTCAAACCATGATCCTCAAATCTTGTTGTCTTTCTTTATGGCTTAATAAAATTCCACTATGTATATAGATCTCATTTTCTTTATTCATTCGTCAGTCTATGCACCTAGGTTGATTCCATAGCTCAGCTGTTGTAAATAGTAAAACGTCATCATTTTTAAGTTCACTTTCCTTGTTGTCTAAGTCCTGAATTTGGAACACAACTGCTATTTCCCTTAATTCAGAGAAAAGAGTCCATGGCTCCTGCAAAGATGCCAAGATATGATTAGGGGCATGGAAAAAAACAAAAACAAAAAAATACCTCACTTCCAGAAATGGAAATATAGCTCAAGTGGCAGAGTGCCAGACTTGAGCAAAAATGCCAAGTGAGAGTTCAAGTCCCTGAGTTCAAGCCCCAGTAGCAGTATACAAAAAAAAACAAACCTCACTTAGATTAAAACGAATCCTCAAGTTCAGATTTTCCATAGGCCATTCGTCAGCATTCCCCTCAAAATCATAGAGAAGGAAGCTCACAGGAGATGATCTTCCCACACCCAGTGCAAGAACCTCCTTGCTAGGAGCCCTAAGGCCTGTTACTCCACCTTGAATATTACTCAACTGAAAGCCAATGGGAGAAATAACAAAACAGAAACATACAAACAAACAAGGAGTCTTACAAAGCAGATACCAGTCCAAATTTTATTTGCATACAAAAATATATTATAATGAGGACAGCATATTACTATACATATTACTATGTATAATTAATTACAAATATTTCCATAGAAGCACTTTAAATTACAAGAGAGCTATTTTTTAAGAGAAAAATATAACATTAGCATAGATCATCTGCTCTAATATGCTGCAATCAGGTAAACAAAGTTTCACTGTCTAAGTTGCCAAGAGACAGGCCCAAGGGCTTGGTGGCAAGGTGAGCCTGAGAATGGCCTGGAAGCAGGGGAGGCTCCTCTCCATCTCCTCTGGCAGCAGATTCTAGTAGGTGAATTTGCCAGGCCCTTGGAGCTTTCTGGAGCTACATCTGAAGTTGCTCCCTGTTTTACATACCTGCAAAGAGGAGAAAGGGGGGTTAGCCACTCCCAGAAGTTCACAATCCCTGCCCTTAACCACATCACACAGCCTCAGCTGTACATCAAAGCTCCCCGCTCCCCCACGCACTGTGTGTCCATCTATTAACTCTAACAACTGGCCTGCAATTCCATGAAGTAGGCAGGCTTGTTACATGGCACTAATACAAATCACGCTGCAATTATAATTAACTCTGTCAAAACAGGCCTAGGTCTTCTGTTGTGACCTGGTGCAGCTTTGGAAAAGGGGCAATAAAATCTTCAAGCAAGTAGAAAGGACACAAAGGCGTTTTACCTCAAGAAGTCTCTCTCTGAGAGACTCTTCTTAAGAAGAGGAGAGTTTTTTTTTCTTTTGATTTCACTATGTAGCCCTAGCTAGACTCAAACTTGGAATCCTTCTGCCCCAGCCTTCCAAGGGCTGGAACTACAGAGAGCCACCCACCACCATGACATGCAAGAACACAGTTATTTTAAATAAACATATGTATATGAGCAGGCAAGTGCATGTGCTGGTACTGGGGCTTGAACTCAGGGTCTGGGTCTTGTCCCTTAGCTTTTTTACTCAAGGTTGGCAATCTACCACTAGGGCCACAGCTCTCCTTCTGGCCTTTTTCTGTTTTATTGGAGATAAGACTCTAATAGACTTTCCTGTCCTAACTTGCTTCAAACCACATTTTTCAGATCTCAGCCTCTTGAGTAGCTAGGATTACAGGAATGAGACTTTATTTTTAAGGGATCTAACTTTTGATTTTACCTAGCCATTTAGAAAGAGATAGCCTAGAATACATCGTATAGAAAATTAACACTTCCACTAAAAAGTTAAGAAATAGGACAGAATTCTGCAAGGCCCACTCTGTGATTCAACAGGATCCACCATCAGTAGGGTTTCTGAAACCTCTATCTCAGGGGTTCTCAGTTGGTCTGCTGGCTCTTGCAATCATATTCTTGGGGAGTACAGTATACAGTTAGATTGTGTGCAGTCTTCCCTTTACACCTCTATTGCAATTATGCCAGTATTGGGGCTTGAGCCCAGGGCTACTCACTCTCGCTTAGCTTTTTCCACTTATGACTGGTGATCTATCACTTGAACTATACCTCCTATTCCTTATTGCAACTATGACCTCATGTCTTCAGTTCCCAACATTTGGGACCACACAGAATGGATTATTAGTTCAATTCCCTAGTGGGAAGCAAGTATTGCCCACTTAATCTTGGTTTCTGGGTGATAAGCTTCTCTTTTTGGCATTCAATTCTAAACTGGACCCTGGGCTAGAGTCCTCTGGCCTGAAGGTCAGTTGGCTCACTTCAGCTCTGAGAAATCTGGCATCTCCACTGCAAAGCACCAATCCTGCTCATTCTGCGTTTGCCACACAGAACACCATTGTTTTCTGGTGACCTGTTCTCACAGTTGGGAAAGGAGCAACGTGTACTTCAATGCAAGCTTATCCTCTGAACTTCTTTCTGAGCCACCAGTGTCCTGTTTCTAAATGCAAAGCAGCCTTATGATGTAACTTCCTGCCTCACACAAGCTAAGACACATTATAGCACTTTATCAGTGGTGTTGCTCGGTTTTCTGTAGGATTTTTTTTTTTTTAATACCAGGCATATACTCACTTGCTAATGCTCTGTCAAGGTCAGCAATAAAGTCCTCTAGCTCCTTTGTGTCTCCTAATTTGGCTGTAAAAGAGGAGAGAGAGTTCAGTTTCCATATTAAAGACTGTTGATGACCCACTGAGTTTTCTAGGATTATGTAATTTCCAGGGTTATGGGATGGATTGTTTCCATTTTATATCTGTCATCTTCAGAGACTTTATTGAACTGTGTTCTGTGCCAGACATCATTTATAATCAACTCAGACCCTCAGTGATTCTTTCCCACTTATCACTGCCCATCCATAACTCCGCAAACTTTCTTGACCTCATCCTAACATGAAAACACTGTCTGAAAAGTTGGAGAAGGGGAAGGAGAAGGAAGGAGATATTAAAAAGATTTGATTTTTTGATTGGGTAGGATGTGAGTTCTCTGTTAAAACATTCAGTAAGTATGGCACTGTGTGGAATAGAATCTGAGTTCTATTTATTCTAGTGTGTGTGCAGTGTGTGTGTGTGTGTGTGTGTGTGTGTGTGTCTGTCTGTCTGTCTGTCTGTCTGTCTGCCTGCCTGCCTGCCTGCCTGCCTGCCTGCCTGTCTGTTGGTACAGGGACTTGAAATCAGGGCCTAGGTACTTTTTCTTAGCTATTTTTCCTTCAAGCCTGGAGCTCTACCACTTGATCTACAGCTCCACTTCTGGCTTTTTGCTAGTTAATTGGACTTAAGAGTCTCATGGACTTTCCTGACTAGGCTGGCTTTGAACCTCAATCCTCAGACCTCAACCTCCTAAGTAGCTAGGATTATAGACATGAGTGACTGGCACCCAGCAAAATCTAGGTTCTAACTCCTGCCACCCTTGCCTTCTTGTGGTGAGTCTTACTTGTGCCTTGGCCCAGGGCAAGGCTATGACCCTCAAGTCCCTCCATCATGAATGAATGAATTATCCCCGCTCCATATCAAAGTGGAACAGAGAAGGTGATGTAAGACTGTTGGTTCCCAGCCAGCCTTGTCCTATCTAGGTGTCAGCACAGGCAGTGCTAGGTTTTGTTCTCTCTATAGCCTCTGATATACTTTCCTGCATATTTTACTCTCTTTGGTAGAGTTCATCATTCCTGCGTTCCTTGAAATGCATGGCTGAATATTTTTATTCTTCCCTCTTTCTTGCCTTGATGGCTACAAATGGTGCATTGTTCTTAGCCTTTCAAGTCAATTTGCCAACTGGGCGCTTTTTCTTTTAAACCTTCTTCTTTAATTCCTACCCTCCAGAGGATCAGGTAGCAAATGCAGGCACTACTAAAGCCACTTTGTAGACGACTATCCTGAATTGCATAGATCCATTACAGGCAGAGGGCTGGACCCAGGCCATATCCCTATGGCTGCCAATGGTGCTGTGCTGCGAAGGGAATTTAAAAATTTCTCTTTAAAAAAAGAAAGGAGTTCTGTCTTAAAGCCAGATGGAGAAAAGTGATGGAATCTTCGTGTTTCTTTTTAAGGTTATTTTATTTCTATTGTATTTTGTAGTTTTGGCATATATAACTTTCAGGGTGGGGAGGGATCTTTTTGGTTTTGAAAGAATGATTGTCAAATCTAATGAGACATTCAGCTCTCTAGCTGGTGACCCTCTTCTAGTTCCGAGAAAAGAAGGAACAGCTCCTGCATCTTTAAAAACTTCTTAAGCCATTAATATCACAGAGGAGACTGGCCAGAGCTGCTATTTTGAATCATATTAGATCACTGCTTCTTTCATCAGGACGACCCCACTTAATTGCTACATTAGTCACATGGAAACCTTAGTTAGTGCAGTTTTAAAAACTCCTCCTTTCTTCAAAGGATAACTGCAGTTTAAAATTTTCAAGCCAACTAGTTTTAGGAGAGACTTTGAGAAGCACTATCACTTAGCAGTCTTGTTGTTACCACATGGGAGAAAACAGTAAAGCAAGCATGTGCAAATCTGTCTTGAATTTTCCTCATGAATTCAGATTTTCAGACACCCCTCCCCGCAAATTATTTGATTTCTTTTTCCCCACACTTAACAAAATCCTGAGAAATAACAAATTCCACTTCACACTCTACTGTCCCTCCCTTCTTGCATATCTGGGAAAGCTTAGTTCAGGAGAAGAGGAAGTGGGGAATGGAGAAAAGGAAGAGAATAAAGAAGCAGGAAAACTCAGTCCAACTAGCAAGCTAGCTTACCCTTTCGAGGAGGAGTGGTCATGGGGGAGCGTAGAGCTGGAGTGGAATCTGTTGGAGAATTCAGTTTTTCATCACTGAAGCTGAAACTGCTCCTATAAAGTGAATCTGCACCTTTCAGGAAGAAACATACTCATTAGAGACAGTGTCCAGCACACAGTAGATTCATTTCTCTTTGAACTAGTGATAACTAGCAGAAGTTGCAAATTGATAGTGAAGAAGACAGATGCATTTCTAGATGCATTTCCCCCAAAGGATCTGAGACAGGCAGGTGTGCATGTATCCCTGTGAGCATGTGTCTCCAGTCATGAACTTCCTTAAAACAGTCACTTCCAAAAAAAAATGGCTGGAAATGTGGCTTGGTGGTAAAGTGCTTGCCTAGCGTGCATAAGGTCCTGGGTTCAATTCCTCAGTACCACATAAAAATAATAATAATTAAACACACACACACACACACACACACACACACACACACACACACATACACACACACCTCTGCAGGTATATAGAAGCCTCCACCAGGGGTCACACCAAATGGCCAACCCAATGCTTGGACGCTGGTGGAGGGTAGTTGGTTTGAAATGTTAGCTATACAAACTTGTCCCTCATAAAAAATGTTCCACTGCCCTCTGAGTCCCCCCAAAAGACAACATAAAGTTAGTCCCGCCACCTAATAATCCTCTGCTCATGAGAATCTTCCTCACAGAAATCCCCAAGTTCCTACATTATTGGGACAAGCTAGAACCAAAGACAAAGCTTTCTGCTCCTGGTGGTGCATAGTAGCACAGACATGCAGAGATTCTCTAGATCCTTCTAGTCTCATACCCCCAAAACACAAAGTAACAGCAAGGCAAGGTCTCAGAAACAGTGCTAGGCTATAAAAGGCCCAGAAGCAGCTCAGCTTCTATTTCGATGTCCTCAAGTGCCCTTGAACAAGAGATTATCTCCAAGCCTCAGTTTACCCAGTAATAAACTAGAAAGGTGGGCCAAATGATTCTTAAATTGCTAACAGCTCTGAATTTAGAGACTTGCATGCGTGCGTGCCTGCGTGTATGCGTGCACATGCATGTGTGGATGTGTTGGTACTGAAGCTTAAACCAAGGGCTTGAGTGCTGTCCTTTAGCTTTTCAGAGGCTGGCACTCAACCACTTGAACCACACTCCACTTCTGGCCTTTTTTGCTAGTTAATGGGAGTTAGGAATCTCACAAACTTTCTTGCCTAGGTTGGCTTCAAACCATGATCCTCAGATTTGTTTCCTGAGTAATTAGGATTATAGGCGTGAGCCACTCATTAATTTTTTGACTTACAGGCATGAGCTACCAGTGCTGAGGTGCTAAGATTTTGAGATTCTATTTCCCCCAGACTTACTGAGGAGGAGGAAGTCAATTCACACCTGGCCAGCTGGGGGCTGGTGACATAGAAAAGGCAGCACTCAAAGGGTTCAAAGGCAGAGCAGGCAGCAGAAGCAGGATGTGGCCACGGAGCTTGCCTTCCTGGTTAAAACAGAATACAAAGCCAGCCAGGCTGTGGCAGAGAGGGGCTCTGGAAAAGATCTTAGATGAGCAATGTCACCTGGCCTAACCTCCTTTCCTCCGTGGGGTTCTTGAACTTGAACTTAATTCCCTCTTGCTCAAGGGGAGGCAAAAAACATCCTGCTTTTGTTCCCCTAGCTCAAAATTAACTTGCTTCAGTTATAAATATATATACCGGTATAAAAAGAAATCAAAGTTCTAGAAAGAGGTTTCTAGTCTTGAGAGAATTACCTCATAACTATAAGGCTATTCCAGGCACTTCACCGGACCCCCTTTCTCCCTGCCTCACCTGACCAAACGGCCAGAGCTACTTTATTGTCTTCCTTCTTCTTGGCCATCTACTTTTCCAAGCATGCCTATCAGATCCTCATAACCAATCCTTACCACCTTTCTTCCCTCAAGAGACCCATCCTAAATCACCTAAAAGGACAATTAGTTTCAGGGTTTTTGGATGATGAACATCTGCTAATCTGACACCTATATATATTTTTTTTCCAAATGCATTCCCCAGAGTGCTAGTGCTATGGAATAAGAGCTGCACCATCATCAAAGGGGTAGACACCTGCCTCACCCTTGATGATTCCCACATCTGACCTTCCCAAGAAGCTTGTGAAAAGCAATGGGTCTGGCGCTGTCTCCCAAGCACACTTGACATGGGACACTTTTGTGTGTGTGAGAGAGAGAGAGAGAGAGAGAGACAGACAGACAGACAGAGAGACCCTTAGTACTTCTCAGGACACTGGCACTCTGAAACCTGACTTTGGTGTGGAGGCTGAGCCCACCTCTTAAGGATACCTAGGGAGGAACATTACTGTTCATCACTGTAAAGTCACCAGGGGAAACAATGTAAATGTAGCCTATAACTATGGGGAGGAGATTGGTTAAATTTTAGGGGCAAGAAAATTACAGAAGAGTCCCAGGGAGTTAGTTCACTGGACAGAAGGAAGAAACATGAGGCCCTGGGCAACTTATGGTCTGCTCTGAAAGGCATCCAAGAGCATCACCTCCATTCCCTGCCTAGAGCTGTAACTGGGAGGTTGACTGGCTCAGAGCTCAGGGCCTCCTTTCTGGTCTCTATCACTCAGAACAGCTGGCACTTAGTAGCTACTTTCTTCATGACTCTTCAAGTAGCCACACCTCATTCTTCCCTGCATGCACCGCAGGCTTTTTCCATGATTTTAGAGTTTATTTCTGTAATTTTACATAACACTCATGCTTCAGGGTAGGGGAAAGAAAGTCTCCCAACTTGCTCACCTTCAAGGCAAGTAGACCAAACACTATGGAGTACTCAAAGAAGGAACAACCCAACACGGAAAAGGCTATTGCCAAAGAGAATGGCAGGAAGAAAGGTATCCGGTAAGGATACAGAAGCTCCAGGCAACTCAGATGGCTGAGGGAAATTGTGGAGAGGAGCTACAGTCTTGGAAAATGGCCCTGGCTTGTGTTGGTAGCCTTCAGAACCTGTTCTATCTTCTAAGTGCATTTTCCACAAACTCAGAAAACAGTGATACAATTTTACTTTCACTTGACTGATAAACTCAGTGGCAAGTCAAACTATTAAAATGATTAGAAGCTGCCTGCTATTGCTAATGAACTCATGTTACTTACACAATGGGGAGGAAGAGAAAAAAACACTTGTTACATATCTATTTATACAAACCCACACACATAGGCTCTATCAGCATAGTATGTGCTCACTCCTTTCTCCCCCTACATACTACGCACATGCATGCACGTGCGCGTGCACAACCACACACACACACACACACGTACACACACGTGCACACACACACACACATGCACACACATACTAGCTCACTGCTACACACCACCATTCCGCTCTTTCCATGTCTTCATACAGCCTAGGCTAACTCCAGGTTCTGGACATCATGGGACAATGAGCTCCCTGTACCCCTGACCAAACCTGGCCTATTCACTTGCACCCTGTGTTAATTAATAGCCTACACAGGTAATTCACGAAGCAAAAAGAAAAAGAGAGAGAGAGAGAGAGAGAGAGTAACCCTCAAACACCCCAAAACCAGACCACAGGGAGAAGCTAGGAGAAAGGCAATACTAACCTAGGATCCGCATGTGTAACCATGCCTGGGGTTACAATCATTTGATTCTCAAAGGTTCCAACAAAAAGAACAGCAGAAAACTCAGGAGAGAAAGGTTATCATCAAGAATAGAAGCAAGATCCAAGCCCTGGCGTCCTGCTCTTTTTCAGATAGCAGCAAAATTCTTAAGTTTCTCTTCAAAGGAACCCACCCAAGAACAAGCCCCAAACACAAAGTACCACAAACTCTAAAATTCCTTTCTATGGACCCTCATTAAAAACTGATATCAGAGGCTGGGAAGGTGATAGAGTGCTTGCCTTGCATGCATGACGCCCTGGGTTCGATACCTCAATACCATATAAGCAAAAAGAAAAAAAGCCAGAAGTGGCGCTGTAGCTCAAGTGGTAGAGCGCTAGCCTTGACCTGAAGAGCTGAGGGACAGCACCCAGGCCCAGAGTTCAGGCCCCACGACCAGACCCCCCCAAAAAAAAATTAAAAAAAAAACTGATATCAAAGAGAATCTCATACTAGGTAGATTACAATGTAAGGCCTGATTTTCTGCTCTTTTCATTGCCCTAGACCTCTTTCCTTGCCAAATGACATCCAGTAAGTCTAATCAAATGAAAGCAATGTGTTGCTGGCTGATAGTATACTCATGTATTAGTGCCCCACCTGTGTGTCAGGTGCTGCTATTAATAGAGGTACAAGGAACTGAAAGCAGACAATTTGGGGCTATGTCAAGCCTTAAAGCATCTACATCAGTCATCTCTGAAGCCTCATCTCGAAGCATCCTAAGTCCCCATTGGAAGCATCCTCTCCAGGTCCACTCAGTATCCTGAAGCCAGAACCTCAAATCATGGGGCCATTTTCTAAGACACCATCAAACAAAACAACAGTCTGTTAAATACACAATCTTCTTCCTTTTGTTATACTGACAGAACTTGAAGAACTTCGGAGTGGGGGAAAAAGGCCCACTTGAAAGTTAGGTACGTTTTCTGAGTTTGAGGGTTGGGAGGAAGGTAATTTAGCGTTCATACTGACATGTATTACTCCAGAGGAAAGTAAAGCCACAGACTGAACCTTGCCCAGAGCTCCTGTAAATATAGAACAATCTAACCCGTTTCCAGCAAGCAAACAATAGTAATTAACTGAGAAAAAGAAAGCTCTGGATCTGTTTCCCTTTTCCCATGGGGAATGGCAGAGATGAGGGGAGACTTCTTCTTCCACAAATCTGAATTCTAACCATCTCACTAAAGAAGGACCTGATAAAGAAAAGCTCCTTCTAGGACTGCCCTGTTCTTCTAGACACCGTGCCAGGCATCTGAGTAAGATCTGTCACTCACTTGCAATCCTAACACATACCAGGGCATCCTGAAGACTCCTCCTTCGCCTATCCTGTCTGGCTTGAACAAGTTCAAGTTTTAGTCTTAGTGGCTCCTAAGCCACCCCAGCCACCATATGCTCCCTATCATTCTAATCGCTAGGGTCCATGGGGCTCCCTCTCCCAGGACCACGTCAGAAAAGTCTAGGCAAAAATAACAAATGTTTTAAGACTTGCTCCATGTTAAAGAAGCAAGTTCCTCCATCCCTGAAGTATCTAGAATAGCCTTAAATGCACATTAGATCTCACACTTTTACTATAAAGTAGTCAAGCACCTCCCCCCTCAAAGGAAGAATATATGTGAAACCCCCAAACATCAGAGGTATGAGTTCATTCTATTCTTTAAGCCTTAAATGAATATTACAACCTTATATAAAAGCCACATAGATCAGGGTGCCAGTGGCTCATGCCTATAATCCTAACTACTCAGGAAGCTGAGATCTGAGGATCAAGGTTCAAAACTAGCCCAGGAAGAAAAGTTCATGAGATGCATATCTTCAATTAATCATCAAAAAGCCAGAAATAGAGCTGTGGCTCAAGTGATAGAAAGCACTACCTTGAGTAAAAATGCTAGGGACAGCATCTAGGCCAGAAAAAAAAGGGGGAGGGCAACAAGCCTAGATTAACATACTGGCTGACATATGGAATACAATGAGCAAAATTTCCATTAAATACTTTGGGAAATTATTCTGTATTCTCATAATTTTGAAAATTGTATGTGCAAGTCCATCCCAAATATCTCCCCTAAACTGTTTCTATGCTTCTAGTGCATTCTCTTTGAGACCCCCTGCAAACCTTCCAGATCTGAAATTCCTCCCAGTGGAACTTGCCATCAGCCATGCATGGGTGTGGTTGGGCCATACTCTAGCGGAATGAGGCTGTGGCTTAGAAAGGAGCTATTCTTTGCCTTTGAGCATCAGTGACAAAATGTTCCAGCCTGCTTTCCACGGGGGAGAGAATGTGTATTTGATGAATAACTTGCTCCATGCCCTAGCAGGAGGAGATATATTTTAAGTTTAGCCACAGTTATTGAGACAATTTTTAAGTGCCCCAATTTGGGCTTGAACTCAGGCCCTGGGCACTATTCCTCTGCTTTTTTTGCGTAAAGTTGATGCTCTACCACTTGTGCCACAGCTCTACTTTCAGCTTTTTGTTGGAGTTGAGTCTCATGGACTTTCCTGCCTAGGTTGGCTTCAAACTACAATCTTCACATCTCAACCTCAGCTAGAATTACAGGTATGAGCCACCAGTGCCCAGCAGATATTTCAAAAAAAGACTTCGCTTCAACAACAAAAATGAGCAGCCAGGTCACTAGCAACAAACGCCAAAAGCTCTAAGTAGAAATTACTCTCATCCATTCCCTTTCCATTACCTCAAAAGTGACAGCCTGATCTAACCCTGGGGTGGAGCTGCCAAGGACACTCAAACTGGAACTCAAGTTTCTGACTCAAATCCTAACCAGGGTGGCGGGTAGCGGGGGGGCGAGGCCCTATATCCTCTGTCAAGTTCACATCTCACACTGCATCTCTGCCCAGCAACTAGGAAATGCTCCAGATTGCAAAACAAGAGAATCACAGGAAAAGACACTGCTTTTACTCGCAGAATGAGAGCAGCAAAGGTTGTGATGTTCATGCTTATAAAGGCTCAAGAATAAATAGGCAGTCTTAAAATTCACTTTGAAAATAGTCAGACATAGTGGCATCGGCCTGGAATCCTAGCACTTTGGAGGCTCAAGTTTGAAGCCAGGCTGGGATGCATGAGTTCTAAGTTACGAGTCTGAGGTACATTGCAAGATCCTGTCTCAAAAACACAAAGCAAAACAAAAACCTCAGTGAAATTAAAAAGCCACCATATTTATTGTTAACACCTAAACTCATATCCAATAATCATCCAGGACATTTGAGATCATGAATAAAACATGAATGCTCCCTCTCTCTACAAGGTTGTTTGTTTAGGACAAAGTGGGGTAGGGGGAGTTGGTGAAAATAGTCTCCATTGTAAAAAGATCACCAGAGCCAGGTCCTCACTGAGAGAGGCTCACACCTGTAATCCTAGGAGGCTGAGATCTGAGGATCAAAGTTCCAATCCAGACACATCTTGAACCAGCAAAAAGCTGGAAGTAGGTCTTTCAAAACTGTATCCAGTGGAGCAAGAAAGTGGATCTCTCAGCTGAACCAAAGCATAAGAAGTTATTTCAAAAATTCCAAGAACAGCAACTTATGAAATCTTTTCTGGTTTCACAAATATTTCAGTACCACACTCCTTTGTCCCCACACTGCCACCTCTCCCCTCCAGCCCCATTTCTGTGCCACTTGCTCCACATACTCTTAAAAAGGTATAGCTGAGAGGCCAGGTGCCAGTGGCTTGTTTACACCTGTAATCCTAGCTACTCGGAAGGTTGAGATCTGAGGATCATGGTTCAAAGCCAACCTGGACTGGCTTGCCTCCAAGTAACCAGCAAAAAGTTGAAAGTAAAGCTATGGCTCAAGTGATAGAGAGAGCATCAGCCTTGAGTGAAAAAGTTCAGTGACAGTGTCCAAGTCCTGAATTCAAGCCCCAGTACAGGCACAAAAAGGAGGAAGAGAAGAGAGAGGAGGAGAAGGAAGAGGAGGGAGGGAGGAAGGGGGAAGGAGAAGGGGGAGAAGGGAGGGGCAGGGGAAGAAGGAGAAGGAGAGGAGGAAGAGGGGGAGGGGGAGGGAGAGAAGAAAGGGGGAGGGGAAGAAGAAGAAGGAAAGGAGGAAGAGGGGAAGGAGGGGGGGGAGGAGGAGGAGGGGGAGGAGGAGGAGACAGCTGAGAGAGGAGAGAAGAGAGAGGGTAGAGTGCAGAAAGACCTGCAGGTGACAGGTAAACCACCCATCCCATGACAGCCAGACCTAGATTCTGTCCTGGGCCCTGATCACTGCTGGCTTCAGTCCCGGAGACCCCATTCTCCCTGCGTCCTGAAGCTTTAGATCTGATCCCAGGCCTGGATTTACAGAGGAAGTAAACTGAGGCCCTGAGCAATGAGGGGCGGGGTGGGGGGGCAGGGGCCGTCCTAGGAGGCCCTCGCTTACTCTCGGAGTCGCTGAAGCCGCTGCTGTCGCTGACGCTGGCGCTGCTGCGCCGCTTCATGCGCTCCAGGTGCTCCTCGTAGTGGAAGTGGCGCTCGTGGAAGGGCGACGCGAAGTCGGCAAGCACCGCGTCGAACTCGCACAGGGCGTCGGTCAGGTCTGCGGCGGCCGCGGAGTCCAAGGCTGGGGCTGGGGGAAAGGACCGTGGCTCAGTCGCTGGGCGCGCGGGGTGGGGGGGAGGGAAGATGTCACCTCTACCTGACGCCAGGAGGGCCCGCCATCACCCCAGGGAGTAATTAGTGTCAGCCTCGCAGCTATTTCTTTAGTCCTCTTCAAGAGGACCGCCTCTTATCCAGCCCACTGCGCAGACAAGAAACTGAGGCCCGGGAGCTGAAGTCGAAAGGCCGGAGGCCATCCAGTTACCTGTGCGCAGCTGGGTACTTGCCCCTTTGCTGGGTACTTGCCCCTCTGCTGGGTACTCTCCCCCTCTGCTGGGTACTTGTGTCCTCGCTCACCGGGGGCGCCCCGCAAGCTTGGCGGCAGTGGGGAGACTGAGTCAGAATGCACCCGGTTAAGGGCCGCGCGCTCAGCTCCCTAAGCCGGCGTGGGGAGCCAGGCTGCGCGCGCCCCTCCCGGCAGACGTGCGGGGGGACGCGGCGTGTGTATGTGGGGAGGGTAAAGAGAGCGACCCCCGCACGACCCTCGTCTCGCGTCCGCCATCGGGGGACGCCGTGGCTGGGGACATGTGCCGTGACGTGTGCACAATAAATACATAAAGGAGAGGGGAGAGAAATACGCGGGGAGCCTGAGTCCGGCGCTCACCTGCGGCCGCGGCGGCGGCCGGGCTGCCCTGCGTGGCTGGCGGCTTCATGGGGCTGCTTGGGGTGGGCGCGGCGCGCGAGGCCCGGTGCTGCGATCCTGCGCCCCAGGCGCGTGTGGTGCCTCTACCTCCCTCGGAG